AACCATCCCGATGAGTCGAAAGAATAGTAAATATGGCAGGCGACCAGCTTGGCTTAATGGTGAAATCCTAGCGGATCTTAAACATAAAAAAGAAGCTTACAAGAAGTGGAAGGTTGGACATATGACCAGGGAAGAGTATAAAAATATTGCTCGGGCATGTAGGAATGATATCAGGAGGGCCAAATCGCACCTGGAGCTGCAGCTAGCGAGAGATGTCAAGAGTAACAAGAAGGGTTTCTTCAGGTATGTTGGCAACAAGAAGAAAGCCAAGGAAAGTGTGGGCCCCTTACTGAATGAGGGAGGCAACCTAGTGACAGAGGATGTGCAAAAAGCTAATGTACTCAATGCTTTTTTTGCCTCTGTCTTCACTAACAAGGTCAGCTCCCAGACTGCTGCGCTGGGCATCACAAAATGGGGAAGAGATGGCCAGCCCTCTGTGGAGATAGAGGTGGTTAGGGACTATTTAGAAAAGCTGGACGTGCACAAGTCCATGGGGCCGGACGAGTTGCATCCGAGAGTGCTGAAGGAATTGGCGGCTGTGATTGCAGAGCCATTGGCCATTATCTTTGAAAACTCGTGGCGAACCGGGGAAGTCCCGGATGACTGGAAAAAGGCTAATGTAGTGCCAATCTTTAAAAAAGGGAAGGAGGAGGATCCTGGGAACTACAGGCCAGTCAGCCTCACCTCAGTCCCTGGAAAAATCATGGAGCAGGTCCTCAAAGAATCAATCCTGAAGCACTTGCATGAGAGGAAAGTGATCAGGAACAGCCAGCATGGATTCACCAAGGGAAGGTCATGCCTGACTAATCTAATCGCCTTTTATGATGAGATTACTGGTTCTGTGGATGAAGGGAAAGCAGTGGATGTATTGTTTCTTGACTTTAGCAAAGCTTTTGACACGGTCTCCCACAGTATTCTTGTCAGCAAGTTAAGGAAGTATGGGCTGGATGAATGCACTATAAGGTGGGTAGAAAGCTGGCTAGATTGTCGGGCTCAATGGGTAGTGATCAATGGCTCCATGTCTAGTTGGCAGCCGGTATCAAGTGGAGTGCCCCAAGGGTCGGTCCTGGGGCCGGTTTTGTTCAATATCTTCATAAATGATCTGGAGGATGGTGTGGATTGCACTCTCAGCAAATTTGCGGATGATACTAAACTGGGAGGAGTGGTAGATACGCTGGAGGGGAGGGATAGGATACAGAAGGACCTAGACAAATTGGAGGATTGGGCCAAAAGAAATCTGATGAGGTTCAATAAGGATAAGTGCAGGGTCCTGCACTTAGGACGGGAGAACCCAATGCACTGCTACAGACTAGGGACCGAATGGCTAGGCAGCAGTTCTGCGGAAAAGGACCTAGGGGTGACAGTGGACGAGAAGCTGGATATGAGTCAGCAGTGTGCCCTTCTTGCCAAGAAGGCCAGTGGCATTTTGGGATGTATAAGTAGGGGCATAGCGAGCAGATCGAGGGACGTGATCGTTCCCCTCTATTCGACATTGGTGAGGCCTCATCTGGAGTACTGTGTCCAATTTTGGGCCCCACACTACAAGAAGGATGTGGAAAAATTGGAAAGAGTCCAGTGAAGGACAACAAAAATGATTAGGGGGCTGGAGCAGATGATTTATGAAGAGCGGCTGAGGGAACTGGGATTATTTAGTCTGCAGAAGAGAAGAATGAGGGGGGATTTGATAGCTGCTTTCAACTACCTGAAAGGAGGTTCCAAAGAGGATGGACCTAGACTGTTCTCAGTGGAACCAGATGACAGAACGAGGAGTAATGGTCTCAAGTTGCAGTGGGGGAGGTTTACGTTGGATATTGGGAAAAACGTTTTCACTAGGAGGGTGGTGAAGCACTGGAATGGGTTACCTAGGGAGATGGTGGAATCTCCTTCCTTAGAGGTTTTTACGGTCAGGCTTGACAAAGCCCTGGCTGGGATGATTTAACTGGGAATTGGTCCTGCTTCGAGCAGGGGGTTGGACTAGATGACCTTCAGGGGTCCCTTCCAACCCTGATATTCTATGATCTATGTGATCATTCCCCTCTATTTGGCATTGGTGAGGCCTCATCTGGAGTACTGTGTCCAGTTTTGGGCCCCACACTACAAGAAGGATGTGGAAAAATTGGAAAGAGTCCAGTGAAGGACAACAAAAATGATTAGGGGGCTGGAGCAGATGATTTATGAAGAGCGGCTGAGGGAACTGGGATTATTTAGTCTGCAGAAGAGAAGAATGAGGGGGGATTTGATAGCTGCTTTCAACTACCTGAAAGGAGGTTCCAAAGAGGATGGACCTAGACTGTTCTCAGTGGAACCAGATGACAGAACGAGGAGTAATGGTCTCAAGCTGCAGTGGGGGAGGTTTACGTTGGATATTGGGAAAAACGTTTTCACTAGGAGGGTGGTGAAGCACTGGAATGGGTTACCTAGGGAGATGGTGGAATCTCCTTCCTTAGAGGTTTTTAAAGTCAGGCTTGACAAAGCCCTGGCTGAGATGATTTAGTTGGGGATTAGTCCTGCTTTCAGCAGGGTGTTGGACTAGATGACCTACTGAGGTCCCTCCTAACCTTGATGTTCTATGATTCTATGTGCAGTAAATAAGCCATGGGGCCACACAAGAAACAATAGAGAAAACAATATCTAATAGCTGCTCATTAAGCAGGCACTTTCCATTTTGTTTACTTTGTCCACTCAGGCTCACACAGTCTGTCCCAGTCTGCTCACCTTCTCACTCCCAAACTTCCTTCTTCTGTTCTCTGCTCCTCTCTCTCCCATCTTCACCCCTGCTACTCAACATCCTGACTTCCACATCTGCCCTCTGCTCCTCAGCCTCTACTTTCAAGTCAACTTCCTTTCTCATTCTCTTCCATTCTGCCACTACAGAAGCAGAAGCATTGAGAGCAAAGGAGAGAGTCTCCCTGCTCTTACTTCTGGTGCCTGGTGCCACGGTGTCCCTTTGCTGCCAGGAGGAGCAATTGCAGGTAAAAGTCCTGCATGGCTCCTGCAGGCCTAGGATACAGCATGCTCAGTTGCTCTGTCAGGATGGCACAGATAACCTTGCCAGCACATAGGAGCTCTGTAGCGGTGGAGCACATTTTGTACAGACTGAATCTTCAGAAAATAATGCTGCTAACCTTTAACAAAACTCTACTAATCATGTCCAAACTGTGATTTTCCAGGGACTTATAAACTTGGCCAAATTTGAGAAGATTTTCACTGTGACAAAAGACATCTCTGACACCAGAGTGACCCCTTTGCAAATTTCAAACGTCTGCTGCAAAGCATGGAAGTGCTAGAAGAGCGGTTCTCAAACTCGGGGTCAAGACCCCACAGGGGGTCATGAGGTTATTACACCAAACCCCACTTTGCTTCCAGAATTTATAATGGTGTTAAATATATTTTTAAATGTTTTTAATTTATAAGGGGAGGGTCACACTCAGAAGCTTGCTATGTGAAAGGAGTCTCCAGTACAAAAGTTTGAGAATCCCTGTGCTAGAGTATCTCAAAGAAAGAGTTGAGATTTTTTTTTTTTTGATGTGAGCAAATCAATGTATTTTTCCTCACCTTGTTGTAAGAAATGGCTGAAACATTTCAGCTGAAACTTTCCAAAAACATTCATCCTGAGAGAAACAACTGACACAGGAAATTTGAGTCTGAACGGTTTATGTTTGGCAAACTTGTAAGTAACTGAAAACAAGGTCTCATAATGGAAAGCATTGCATCTTTAACAACAAGCACAGCTACCAGGTTTGCCTACAATTAGTTGTGTACACACCATTTTAAATACAATCATACCAAAAAAAATGGCTACTTTTCCCTACTTTTCACAGTATCCCGAAAAAAAGATCCCAAGATTCAAAATACACAGTTGCTCAGCACCAAGAAAATATACAAGCCATCCACACAGAGATCAAAAGCTAGCAAACAGGCAATATACACAGGAGCTAAACAATAAACTAGTTCAACAACTCTTAAAAACTCACTGAAGTACTAAAATTAAGAATTTTCAAGGAACAAAAATAAAGAGGAGGAAAAATCGCTTTCCATTGAAATACAAACTTGAAGCAGATTTTTCCATAGGTTTTCCCAACAAGAGTGACTTCACCAAGAAAGTCAATAGCGAACACACACATTTTAACCATACAGAAATACTGGAAAGGTGGAAATGCAATTTGGATGTACTTCATCTGATTTACTCCCACTTTATGCCGTCTGTTTCTGAGGCACTGTGTTGGTTACCTAGGAAACTGGTATGTTTGAATGGCTCTTGTGTCAGAACTGTGAACACAGATTTATGCAGTGTACAATGTAACAATAAATGCACAAATGAATGAAATGCTCAACAACTTAGGGAAGTTTTATTAGAAGAAAAATATAATTAATTGATTATGTAGGGTACATTTGAGAAAACAAAAGATTCATTAGACACTAGTGTTCATTAATATATTTTTACAAATTACATTGAAAATTACAGTATTTTAAACAAAAGCCAGTTGAATGTTAGAAATAGCTTGTGTCTTTGTATACTTAAGCGTACATGAACACAAACAAAAATTCACAGCCAGCATAAAGAGCCCTCCTGGTGCAAAATTTCCTTGATTAGACTATAAAATCTGTGAAATATAAAACATTAACAATATTTTTCCCCAATTGGCTTTATTTCAAAAATTCTCATATTTCTATTTTGATAAAGTGAAGTATTTAAATTTGTTTAAAAAATCCTGAATTAAGAATTGTACAGGCTTATTTAGGCATTTGGGCTTTTTGGAAAAAAAAAAGTCAAAATGAATACAGCCTACATGTATGCAGATGGAAAAGGTCTCTGAACCTTTGGGATGACTAAGAAGCAATTCAGAAAAAAATTCAGTACAATTATGTATGCCAAAATATTTGTAAAGGAAAGTGGAGTCTTAAGAGTAAGGGAGAACATGGGTTAGGGCTGCAACAGCAAGGTGGAAAGTCCTCATTCTCAAATAATTGTTAAAAATAGAGACTATATTTACACTTACCTTTACATTTGGCTTCTTAATGGAAACTCCTCTGTACCAGCCTAAAACAGGACAAAATATACTGTATTAAATTGTGGCATTGCATTTTTTTTATACTGAAATAATCTGACTGCCCCTGGCAAAACCGTCCAAATGCTCAGATCATCTTTTACTCCTGAGGGTATTTTGTGCCAAAAAATTATGCATAAAAAAATTAAAATTCTCGCACAATATTTTAAAATTCTGCAAAATTCTGCAAATATTATTTGCCAAATAAATGTGGAGGCTCCAGCATAGCATTGGGGAACACAGGCCACTAGCTGCACAGAGGTGGGATATCACTGTACAGCTCCTCCGCCCCAGGACACTGACTCAGCAGGGAGGCTACACCCTACCCTGACACAGTGCAAGGACTGGGCCTCTGCCTCCGTGCCAGGTGCACCAGGTCTGAGCAGACAGGCTCAGCAAGACAGGATCCAAGTGTGGAGGGGCTTAGTATGTGGGGGGAGGGATCCAGGTGTGGGTTGAGAGGGTTTTGTGTGGAGCAATCTGGGTGCAGGAGGCTCAGTGGGGGATCTGGATGCATAGGGGCTTGTTGCAGGGTTCTGGGGGCAATGGTAATGGGACTCTGCAGGGGGGTCCAGGTGAAGGTGGTTGGGGCTCAGTGGTGGGGAGTTTCTGGGTGTGGGCGTATAGAGCTCGGCAGGGGGGTCTGGGTGTGTGGGGCTCAGTGGTGGGGTCCAGATGCTGGGGGAGTGGAGCTCAGTGGAGTGGGGATCCAGGTGCAACTGGTTGGAGCTCAGTGAGGTGGGGATATGGGTGTCTCATCGGGGTAGTCGGGTCCATCAAGGTGGGTTCTGAGTGCAGGGGGGTTAGGCTCAGTGAGAGGGTCTGAGTATAAGGGGGTCTGGATTCACAGGGGTTGGGCGGATGGCAGAGCAGCTCCCTGTACAGGGATCCCTCCCCCTGCAGCTGAGGAGCAATGGGTGCAGGAAGCAGGGGGAGAGATGGAGTTTGCAGAACTTCCTGCAGCCAGGAGAGAAATCTGGGGTGGGTCTGACCCGGTCCCAGATGCCGTGCAGGGGAAGAGTAAGTCCCATCCTCCCCAGCCCAGCCCGGACTAGCAACCGAGTCCAGCACAGGGTAGGAGACACCAACCAAGACTTCCCCAGTCCCACCTCTTGCCCCACAGTGATTTACCACTCTGCCGGCTGCCCTAGGTATCCAAAACATATTGCTGGGGAAAGTTGTGTGACTGCTCTTGTGACTTCCCTTTGCTTCCTCAGCAGAAAGTCATTTTTCTGTGGGGAATCAAAGAAATCTGCGGGGGACATAAATTCTGTGCATGCACAGTGGCACAGAATTCCCCCAAGAGTAATCTTTGAAACAGACACTATAGCTCACATAGGTTATTAACTCTTGAAAGATTTTTACTCTCTAGTGACCACAAGCCATAAGAATCTTGTACTCCTGCTTATTCCCATGAAGGACAGAAACAGCTTAGTGTTTGTAGTCTCTTTAAACTACTTGGAACCATTGGCAGCTGTGGTGAGTACACATTCAGCACACAGGCAATAATTCAGCCTGAACATCTTTCCTACATGGGAGAAGACATTCCAGTACATTTCTAACACACTTGAATTTTATAGGTTCAACATTTAATCAGGAAAGCAAACTTGTGGAAAGGACGTATACTGTGTAAACACTGCCCTGTCACGGTTTCTCTGGTGTGGGATCAGTTAAGTTGCACAAACAATGCCAAAGGTCACAATGGGAACACCAGGAGCTGTATCTTGGATGACAGGAGTCAGCAAGGCCCTTCACACTACTTAAACACTGCAGTTGCACTATGCTTGGATGGGGTGCCCAGTGGCAGTGTCTCTAAAGGACAGTGATGGAAACAAGTCAAGGAATGGACCTCAGGATCTACAATTGCACAAATCCAATTATTACTCTTAAATCCCATTCAAGTGTCACACAAGAGCTCCAGATAGTAGTATTCCAACAACAGCCTGCAGTAAGGGCTACAAGGGGTTCAAATTTCATTCTCCACAAGCTACCTGAGCTTCACCAACAGGTGAGAATAATTTCACCTTATGTAAGCTAGCATCAGGAACAGGAAAAAATCAAAACTGATGGTGCTGAAAGACCAAGAAGGTTGATACTGGAGAGCTGAGTGAGAGAAACAAATGGACAGAGACTATGAGAAAACAGTCAACCCTAGGAAATATATCTAGCCAAGGGGAGTGAAGCACAGATTCCTTTTCTTTTTTCCCTTTTCGTGCCACAATCGTAATATATTTCGGTTGATGTTACTATTTATTATTATTATAGGCAGAGCTGGTAGCTATGCCTACAGTTACAGTTGTTTAACCTTTTCCATTTTAAAACCCAGTTTTCAGCTGCTTAAATTTTCCCAAACTTCAACATTCAGGCTGAAATTTTATATGCCAGGTGTTTGCATCAGGGTAATCAACCAAAATGGGTTAGCTGTTTCTGAGAACAAGATTAGAGAAAAATGTGTTTTGCCTATTTAAAAATTTTTCTCAATCACTTCATTGAGAAATTCTAGTATCTCCATGCTCTGAGATTGCAACTGAGATTGCACGGGTGTCAGACACATGCCTTTTGTTATCCCAAGGAAAACTGCCCAAATCTGAATGAGTTAACCTCTGAATAAAAAGTTTCACATATTTACACATATTCAGAAGAAATTTCTTAGAGTTCAGCAGCTCAATTCTCCAAAGATTCCATCCGCACTGAGCATGCTCCATCCCAGGAAACCTGGGCTCATCAGAACTTTTACTGCAATTACTCATCCTCATTGCTGGGGAACACTGTGGCATCAGGCACCAGAACTGAGAACAGGGAGACCTTCTCTCCTGTGTTCTTAATGCTCCTTGCTAGCACACAGGCAGTGTGGAGAAGTATTAAGCAGCTTGACTGACACGCAGAGGCATAGGGGCTGAGGAAGGGGAAGAGGAACAGACAGGGGGACGAAACAGGAACAGGAGCCAGGGAGGAAGGGATAGGAGCATGGGGGAGGATAGGGACAGAGGATATAGGAGCAGGAACTAAAGAAGGCAGGGATAGGAGCAGAGGATGAGGACAGGAGCTGTGGGAATTGGAGAGAAGGTTAAGAGCTCTGAGGCGAGGCAGTGATGGAACCAGATGGGGGAGGGGAGAGACACAGGAGGGTTTGTAAACACGAGAGCATACTCCCCTCCAGAACTCAAATTGAACCCAGGATTCCTGAGTCTCAACTTTTCTCTGCTGTCTAGCAAACAATTATAAAACCCAAAGTTTGTGTCTCATACCCCTCTAGAAGATAAGTCTACACAGATAACAGTCTTTAACAGCTACTTGTTAACCTGTGGTTTTGTACATATCCATTATGATAAAGTATTTAATTATATGATCATCTACTACTGTTTCCATAAAACCCCTGCCTCATTCAGTGCACAGAATGGACAGTGCTCAGGGAATGAATCAGGGATGTGCAGTGAATAAGGCTGTTGTCTGTAGGACTCATGCCTCAGTGTTGTAGAAGTCAGACGGTGTATTGCGAATGAGGTGGTGTAACTGCAGACTATCATAATGGATATGCACAAAGAGTAAATTAATGAATCACAGACAACCTTAATTCTGGCATTTCCTAAATACTGAGGTCTTGACATTGCAACCTTAAGATTCTTTTACTGTTGTTTTTGTATATTATTATTACTACTATAATACTGAGGTTTTTTCTTTTTAAAATAATCTCCTCTTATAAAAATGTACACATAGCAATTTTTTAAATAATCAGCAATTCTAACATAATATTACTGTTATTAATCATTTGTATTACGGCTACATGTACAAGCCCCATTCAATATCAGGGCCTAATTATGCTTGGCATTTTACAAACAAACACCAATAAAGAGGAGATCCCTGCCCTGGATTATAGCATGTTCCCACTCTCTACTATGATAGTATGTTAAAGAATCAAAAATAAATATTCATACCCAGTTCCTCTGACCAAAAAAAATAAAATATTACAGAACTAATGAGGGCATCAATACTGACTCTATAGTTGAGGCTCAATTGATTCTAGCACATAAAGGAGGCATACACAGGTTTGTTATGGACAGAAAAACAAAGCATATCTTCTTTAAAATTATTGCAGTTGTTAAGGTTCCTTCCCCACTCTGAACTCTAGGGTACAGATGTGGGGACCTGCAAGAAAGACCCCCTAAGCTTATTCTTACCAGCTTAGATTAAAAACTTCCTCAAGGTACAAACCTTGCCTTGTCCTTGAACCCTATGCTGCCACCACCAAGCGTATTAAACAAAGAACAGGGAAAGAGCCCACTTGGAGATGTCTTCCCCCAAAAATATCCCCCCAAGCCCTACCCCCCCCTTTCCTGTGAAAGGCTTGATAAAAATCCTCACCAATTTGCATAGGTGAACACAGACCCAAACCCTTGGATCTTAAGAACAATGAAAAAGCAATCAGGTTCTTAAAAGAAGAATTTTAATTAAAGAAAAAGTAAAAGAATCACCTCTGTAAAATCAGGATGGTAAATACTTTACAGGGTAATCAGATTCAAAACAGAGAATCCCTCTAGGCAAAACCTTAAGTTACAAAAAGACACAAAAACAGGAATATACATTCCATTCAGCACAGCTATTTTACCAGCCATTTAAACAAAACAGAATCTAACGCATATCTAGCTAGATTACTTACTAAGTTCTAAGACTCCATTCCTTTTCTGTTCCTGGCAAAAGCATCACACAGACAGACAGACCCTTTGTTCCCCCACCCCACCCCCCAGCTTTGAAAGTAACTTGTCTCCTTATTGGTCATTTTGGTCAGGTGCCAGCGAGGTTATCCTAGCTTCTTAACCCTTTACAGGTGAAAGGGTTTTTGTCTCTGGCCAGGAGGGATTTTATAGTTCTGTATACAGAAAGGTGGTTACCCTTCCCTTTATATTTATGACAGCAGTTCACATACAGAATGATTTTTGACAGTTTACAATTTTTTAATTGCTTTAGGAATGAAAAATAATTAAAAATGGGTCCT